CTCATCCTCACTCCTCCTCCTCATCCTCCTCATCCTCACTCCTCCTCCTCATCCTCCTCATCCTCACTCCTCCTCCTCATCCTCACTCCTCCTCATCCTCCTCATCCTCATCCTCCTCATCCTCACTCCTCCTCATCCTCACTCCTCCTCATCCTTCTCCTCCTCATCCTCACTCCTCCTCATCCTCACTCATCCTCACTCCTCCTCATCCTCACTCCTCCTCATCCTCACTCCTCCTCATCCTCCTCCTCCTCATCCTCACTCCTCATCCTCACTCATCCTCACTCCTCCTCATCCCCATCCTCACTCCTCCTCATCCTCACTCCTCCTCATCCTCACTCCTCCTCATCCTCACTCCTCACTCATCCTCACTCATCCTCATCCTCCTCATCCTCACTCCTCCTCATCCTCACTCATCCTCACTCCTCCTCATCCCCATCCTCACTCCTCCTCATCCTCACTCCTCCTCATCCTCACTCATCCTCATCCTCACTCATCCTCACTCCTCCTCATCCTCACTCCTCCTCATCCTCATCCTCACTCCTCCTCATCCCCATCCTCATCCCCATCCTCACTCCTCCTCATCCCCATCCTCACTCCTCCTCATCCTCACTCCTCCTCATCCTCACTCCTCCTCATCCTCCTCCTCCTCATCCTCCTCACTCATCCTCACTCTTCATCCTCCTCCTCCTCATCCTCACTCCTCCTCATCCTCACTCATCCTCACTCCTCCTCATCCCCATCCTCACTCCTCCTCATCCTCACTCCTCCTCATCCTCACTCCTCCTCATCCTCCTCCTCCTCATCCTCACTCCTCACTTATCCTCACTCCTCCTCATCCTCCTCCTCCTCATCCTCACTCCTCCTCATCCTCACTCATCCTCACTCCTCCTCATCCCCATCCTCACTCCTCCTCATCCTCACTCCTCCACATCCTCACTCCTCCTCATCCTCCTCCTCCTCATCCTCACTCCTCCTCCTCCTCCTCATCCTCACTTCTCCTCATCCTCACTCCTCCTCATCCTCACTCCTCCTCATCCTCACTCCTCCTCATCCCCATCCTCCTCCTCCTCATCCTCCTCCTCCTCATCCTCACTCCTCCTCCTCATCCTCACTTCTCCTCATCCTCACTCCTCCTCATCCTCTCTCATCCTCACTCTTCCTCATCCCCATCCTCACTCCTCCTCATCCTCACTCCTGCTCATCCTCACTCCTCCTCATCCTCACTCCTCCTCATCCTCACTCCTCCTCATCCTCACTCCTGCTCATTAGTGGTCGCTCCCTGAGAGAATCCGCTCCACCTGTTCGTGTTTTTAGCTCGTCTGTTGGTCACGTGACGCGGCCCATAAACGCTGCTCTGTAATTAGACCGAATGAAAAGAGGAAACGGTTTTAAACATGTTTATTCCACTGAACTTCCTGTCGGACTCTTCTTCGTGTCTGTGATCTGAGTGTCGTCTACAGCTGCGGGTGTTCAGTTTTACAGCCTATGAAACCAGTTTCAGTTCTTACCAAATTCTGTTTTACATTTTAATGGTTGAAATAATTTGTAATCATCAAAAAGCATGTGTAATAAAATGAATCCATAAAACTTTATTAATGTAACAGTTTATTTAATCTTTTTACATTAACTTTGCCCTATGAAATCTACATGTTTCTGTATTCTGTTTTGTGATTTAACATTATTATCACAATATGTGGTAATCAAATTAATTCATTCAAATGTAATCATCCCTTTAAAATATAAGCAAGTGAAATATAACAATTATCCTTTACATCAAAACATTTTATTTTTGTTTTTAGTAAAGTATTTAGGTATTTTAAAATATATTTTATCAATTAAAATGTTTTTATAAAAAAATGGATGAAAAAATATTTTGATTGTGTGAAATTCCTTAATTTTTTTAATTAATTGTATTATTATTATTATTATCTGAAATATTCTTTACTCTTAGTATTTAATACTCTATAATTTTATTATAATACAGGTCATGTGTGTGAATATAGTGAGTGGAATATTATTCAAGCTCTTCTGTGTGTTATGAAGTGTGTTATGATGTGGTTATGATGTGGTTATGATGGTGAATGTGTGCAGAGATCATGGAGCGGCACATATGGAGTCTGACAGACGTTTGGCTTCAGTACGAACACACACAGCCAGATCTCACCTCACACACACACGGCCAGATCTCACCTCACACACACACGGCCAGATCTCACCTCACACACACACACACACACACACACACA